TGGCGCAAACTGGGTGGTGCTCCTCCCTCTAGCCTTGTTTAGGGTCAGAAATACTCCCTCTCGGTTTAATCTAACCCCCTTTGAAATCCTCTATGGTGCCCCAGCACCCTTGACCCTGCTGGGAGACACATTTGCCCCTGCAACTTTCGGGCTTCAGTCTGCATGCCATCGTAACTGTGATTTATATGCTAGGTTAAAAGGACTACAAGCAGGGGCCGGCCCAGTGGCGCACTGCTACAGTGCGCCGCTTGGGAAGTGTGGTGGTGCTCCTGCGGAGGGTTCGGATCCCACATACAGACCGGCCACTCACTGGCTGAGTGAGGTGCGGGAGCAACACCGAGGGTTGCGATCCTGTTGCCGGTCACGAAAAAAGACAAAAAGGTAAAAAAAAAAAAAGGACTACAAGCAGTACAGAAGGCTGTCTGGGAACCCCTGAAAGCTGTTTATGAGCCTGGAACCCCTGACGTCTCTCACCGGTTCCAGATTGGAGACTCTGTCTACGTGAGGCATCACTGCCCCCAAGCCCTAGAGCCTCGCTGGAAAGGACCTTACCTGGTGCTCCTGACAACCCCAACAGCTGTCAAAGTGGACGGAATTTCTGCCTGGATCCACGCCTCGCATGTGAAACTGGCACCACTAGAGGACTTCAACACAGAAGAAGGCACCACCTGGAAAGTCCAAAGTTCCAAGGACAATCCCTTACAGCTAAAAATAACCCGGTCATGCCAGAAAACTGTAAGATGAAAGCTCATATATTTTTGCTTTGCTTAGCTATTTCTTTCCAGGACCTTAAAGCTTATAACCTCCATGCCCCCAAAAACCTCACTTGGTATGTTGTCAGTGGAGTAGGAGATACAATCTGGAGTAAGTCCAAAGTAACTTCAGGAGACTGGTGGCCCGACTTGTTCCCAGATGTGTGTAAACTTGCTATGGGAGCACCAGCTAGATGGGACCTAGATGACCATACTGACCTCCAACGCCCTCCTAGTGGACCTGCCCCCGTGTCATTTGAACGGCTTGGAATTGACCCTTGGGGGGGTTGCCGCTACGTAGATCGGAGGAGTTTGCCAAGAACCCTAACGTTCTATGTATGCCCGGGGTACCATCGGGACAGAGCCTTGGTTACAGGTGTGGGAGGAAAAAACATTACTTCTGTAAAAATTGGGGATGTGAAACAACAGGAGATACATATTGGGAACCATCCTCAAGTTGGGACTATATAACCGTGGTCGCCAACTATTCTCATCCTTCACAGGATGACTGGAAAACTTCCATTAGCGCCTGCCAGGGGTGGTGCCACCCCCTCAAAGTTTCATTTACACTTAAAGGAAAACAAGCTACTGGGTGGGATAAAGGATACATGTGGGGACTAAGATTTTATAAACAAAGTTACGATGATGGATTACTGTTTATCATCAAACTCAAAACAGAAATCCAGTATACTGCCATAGGTCCAAATAAATATCTAGCCCCAGTAAAACCTCAGACACTACCCCTAAATACCCTGCCGGAGGCCACAACCCTCATCCTCGGGGTAAATGTAACCGGGCCCCCGAAAATTGAATCCCCAGAACAACCAGGATTCATCCGGTTAATCTCTGAAAGCTTCAAGGTTTTAAATAAAACCAACCCCAATGCTACCTGCTCTTGCTGGCTTTGCTATAATGTAGCTCCCCCCATATTACGAGGGAATAGCCTTCCAAGGTAAAATTAATACCACCACTGACACCTCCAGCTGTCGATGGCCGTAGCAAATAAAGCTCACTCTGTCAGTGGTTGCAGGGCAGGGAACATGTGTGGGGCAAATCCCCCCTTCACACAGTCATCTGTGCAACCAGACTTTAAATATAACTCAGTGGTCTAGTAACATGTATCTAATCCCCCCTCCAGAGGGATGGTGGGCCTGCTCTACTGGGGTCACGCCCTGTTTTAGCCCACAGGTTCTAAATTCAACCAGAGACTACTGTGATTTAATTCAGTTGTTACCCAGGATTACTTACCACCATTACGAAAGTCTGTTAGCCTACTGGAATATAGAAGACCACCTAACTAAAAGAGAGCCCCTAAGCATCACGCTCTCGGTCCTCTTAGGCTTAGGACTAGGAACAGCCATGGCAGCCACAGGAGCTTCAGCCCTAGTAATTCAGCATCAGAACTTCCAAAGGTTACAAGCAGCCATAAACGCTGATATCAAAAAAATAAAAAACGCCATTACCAAATTACAGGAATCCCTCACCTCTCTCTCTGAAGTGGTCTTACAAAATCGGAGGGGGCTAGATCTTCTGTTCCTCCAGCAAGGAGGACTCTGTGCCACCCTTAAAGAAGAATGTTGCTTCTATCTAGATCATTCGGGGATTATAAAAGACTCTATGGCAAAGGTTCGAGAGAGTTTAGCCAAAAGAAAAAAAGAACATAACCAAAATCAAAGCTGGTTTGAATCTTGGTTTAATGCTTCTCCATGGCTCACCAACCTAATAGCCACTTTGCTCAGGCCCCTGATAATTATAATACTACTAATAACTTTTGGTCCATGTATTCTAAACCATGTGCTAAATTTTGTTAAAGACCATATAAACACTGTTCAGATCATGATGTTAAGACAACAATACCAGGCTCTAGGCCAACAAGAGTCAAAATGTCATGATTAAAATTTGTACATAGAAAAAGGGAGGAATAAAAAATACTAACCTGTGCAATCTGCTTCTGTAAAACAAGCTTGCTCCAGCTTAGCAACAGTAAAGCCATCTTAAAATTCTTTCCCCAGAGGGCACCCTGTTCCAGGAAGGGCGGGTAAAGCACCCAGTTCCCGGAAAGACACATACCCTCCCAGTTCTGAGAAAAAGAGAAACAGAACCAACAGATGGTCAGG